CAGACAACTAACTGCTATTCAATCTATAACAGTGAAAAAAGTTTTTTGTTTTTAAATGCAAGCTATTGTGACACCAGTGAGTGAGTGGTGGCACTGGGCACAGTATCCACTGTGAGCCTGAAACACCCCCTTTAAGGACACTGACTGCTATTCAATCTGTAACAGTGAAAAAAGTTTTTTGTTTTTAAATGCAAGCTATTGTGACACCAGTGAGTGAGTGGTGGCACTGGGCACAGTATCCACTGTGAGCCTGACACACCCGCTTTAAGGACACTGACTGCTATTCAATCTATAAAAGTGAAAAAAGTTTTTTGTTTTTAAATGCATGCTATTGTGACACCAGTGAGTGAGTGTTGGCACTGACTGGGCAAATGGGCACAGTATCCACTGTGAGCCTGACACAGAAGCTGGCAGCAGTGGCAGACAACTAACTGCTATTCAATCTATAACAGTGAAAAAAGTTTTTTGGTTTTTAAATGCACGCTATTGTGACACCAGTGAGTGAGTGGTGGCACTGGGCAAGTGGGCACAGTATATGCTGTGAGCCTGACACACAGGCTGGCAGGCAGGCAACTGCAATTACATTACAGAAAAAAAAGCAGACTGATATTCTAGCCCTAAAAAGGGCTTTTTGGGGTGCTGTCCTTACAGCAGAGATCAGATGAGTCCTTCAGGACTGTAGTGGACACTGTATACCCTAACCTAGCTATGCATTTCCCTATCTAATCAACAGCAGCTACACTTTCCCTCCTCTCACTAAGCATGCAGCTTGAGAATGAATCTAAAATGGATGCTGTCCAATAGGTGGGAGGGTCTGCTAGGGAGGGTGTGCTGCTAATTGGCTGGAATGTGTCTGCTGACTGTGAGGTACAGGGTCAAAGTTTACTCAATGATGACGAATAGGGGGCGGATCGAACCCGCTATGTTCGCCAGGAACTGTTCGCCAGCGAACCGTTCGGTGCATCACTACACGGAGCTTTGTCTCGTTGTTGGGGGGATTTATTGTATGCTGTTCCAGTTCGACTGCTAGGAGTGTAAACCTATTCGGATGGTTTTTCCTATTCGGCTGTTTACGGCATTCATATGGTTTCCTGTTCGGCGGATGGGTGTTCTGCAGTAGCTGTGCCTGTGTCTCTGGAAGGGGAAGATCTATTAAACGGCTGTTAACCCCTTTTATGCCTGGGGGTGCCATAACAGGGACCAAATGGGAGACTGTGACAAAGGACAGACGTGAACCAATGACAGACACACAGAGGTAAAACATCCCCTACCTTCCCTCCGTCTGTCCTGGAGATAATTGGGAAGTAAACAATTATGGTGCAATACAGTATATACAGTAAGTGAGTGATGTGTGATCTTTATGTGATTACACTCACATTTAATTGAGCTATCTCAGAGCTCAGCTGTTTCAGCGCATGGACGGAACAATTCCCGTCTAAGGATATATGATGATATGGGCGTCCAAATGGCTCAAATGGAGTGCAGTGTGCAGTACATATATATGAGTAAATATAGAACAAATGCTCCAATTGTGATATAAGTATTCATGAATATGAAGTAAAATAAATAGCATAACATACTCACATTTACCAGAGCAGAACTTGCTCTGGTATATACAGCGTTGGTGGTATAATCCCCGCCTAGGAATATGACATTGCCAGGAAGTGTTGAATGGAAAAATAAAAGTGTAAATATAAAATACACTATTTATTAACCAAACAAAAAAACAATAAGAGCAATAACAATCTAACTGCTGTGCCTGACCATGATTTTCCCCATGTGAATGCTGCCGCTGCTATCGGGTAGATTTCAAATAAGGTGGATGTTTCTCAAACAGAAGGTAATTCGAACACTTCTTTAGGCCAGCAATCTCTCAACCATTGTTTTTTTGTTAATTGCCGCAAACCCGGTGTAACGGAGGTTGGGTTCCTCCACCGACGGATGCTCCTAGTGCTTACCGAGGGCTCCAAGCACTCCACTAGACACCATAAGCACTGCAGACCCCACGACAGCCGCAGCTTGGTCGGGGTCTGGCCGTCTCCTACCCACCCTGGACCTACGACAAGGCTCCAGGTTCCAGTGGGTGAGCCTCTCTTTCTCCAGAGAGTCAAGCAGGAATAGCTCTTACAACAGCTCAGGGAATCCAAGGGAGTATAATGATTATAGTAATCCCTTGTAGTGATATAGCAGTTTCCCCCAATAAGAGACAAAACTCTAGATTGAGGGTGAAGTAAGTCTGTTTAATGGAAGCCACAGCAGGCCTTTTATGCAGGTTTCCCAGCAACGGTGACGCCCAGGTGGACCTTGTTGGGCACAGGGACACAAAGTGTACAAACCAATGAAAACAATGTGACAATGAATGACACTCCCACATACAGTACACAATTCCTCCCGTCTGCCTGTGATATAATTAAGGCAGATAATGCATTAACCTAATTTTCCCCAGGCAGAAAAAAACAAAAATTTTCACAAAGTCCAATAAGTACCCCAAAATACCACTGTGACGAGACCAATCTCGCCATATTGCATTGGAGAAGCCTGGTTG